TTTACCTCGAACGAAAAATTTGTCTCAAGTTTTAACTTTTATAATGTACCAAAAATAGAATGTACGCATGATTATTATATGTAATATACCTGTTCTGCATGTATTTAATTATTTAAAGGCTGTATTATGTAGCATGATTTGAAACAAACTATAAATTCTGTTATAATTTACAAATCAATATTGATTTTAACGCGTCATGATAATATAATGAGTGGTTTATTTATAGAACAGATCGTGTTAATAAAATGACGGTACACTTGACATAAACATAATTGTAAAACATAAACTATAATATAAAACTGATCTGTATGTGCACTATTGGTATGAAAACTGGTGGCTAATTAACTGGTTAACTAATTTAGTTAAATTGACGTTATATTTTTTTTTGTGTGTGAAAAAGTGCTACTGATCCATTGCATATCTGCCACTGGTAGAACTAAACAAAAACGCAAAACCCATGCAACAAGCAACTGCAACTTTTCGGCTCTTTCCGTCAAACTTCGGATCAGGATGACGTACTATTGGTAAAGTGTTCCGAATGGTGAACCGGGTCTTGAAAAGGACAAAATTATGATATTAAAGAGATAAATGTCGAAAAATATAAGATTTTTTTTACTTTATAAGGATATAAGCATAGTTGAATATGTTGTACAAATATAAGTAGCTCTATATTGAAGGTACCTCTTAAAAAGTTTAATACACGTAAGTGGTTGTAGCATGGGGTTTTAAAACTTCTATATTAGAACGAGTGTACATGCATGTATACGTAAGCAGCAGACGATGATCATTGCAATAAATGACTCAGGGGCCATAACTCTGTACAACATTGAAACTTGTATACCAAAGCTGGGACATATCTCTTTATATCCCGGACCAAACACAGGAATATACAGAACAATACCAATTCGTAATAACACATGCTACTATTAAATTCAAACATTTGCAGATCTTTTCTTAACCAGTATATGTTAACAGTGTAAGGGGCTATAACTCCGTTAATTATTTAATTGTGATATTGATAATGAATAGATCCCTATATGACCCTTACCTGTCTTAATCAAATTATCAGATTATTGCATTATGATAACAATTTCACCACAAACTGTTTTTAACAAAAGAACACATGCCAATGTTTGTGGTAAATGTATTGTATTATTCAAATTAAAGGTCAGAGTTGGGATAAATCAATAACCATATACGTTTCAACCACTCCTGCTAAATATAGCCTCAGCAAAATTTGGTTATACATGTATATATACATGTACAAAACAGGGACTTGATGTCCCACCAAAATATTTTTGATGGAAAAGGCTAGGTATGTTTGAAGCTTTTAAAGGTCAGAATGTAGTTGTACAAAACAGTAAAAAACACATTCGCATAAAGAAACAATAGTTTATTTTTATGTGATGTCAATAAATATGTAAGGGTATCACAGTTCAAATATTAAATAACTCAAAGATTGGTTATGCAAAGCAAGGATCACAAAATATATAGCTAATACTGTACGCTTATCAGGTTTTTATATAAAATATCATAATACTGCATGCATGTTTGTAACGTCCATTTTCATTGGACAATCATCATTTGATATTATTCATAATACATTGTTAGTAAAATTTAATAGAATAATTTCTATTTTAATCAAAGAAAGCAACAGTGCAGAATATCATTCTTTTAAAATACTTCTTACAGGTTATATAGCTGTTTTATAAACAAGTGTTTGCTATATAACCAACAAATAGCTTGGTTATATAAGTTTACAACCATTTATATTAGGTCATATAACCTGTCAACTTTAAATTATACGATATATGTCAATAAATACATACTGTTTCAAGGCAGGAGAATTAGGTAAAACAATTCTTGTTTAATTATAATACTTTAAAATATCAAAAACAAAAGTTAAACACATCCATATCACTGAAAGGACAGGGTGTTTGAGGTAAACAAGAATAACAAAAATACTTAATAAATTCTGCACTTAAAGGAAAAACAACAACTAAGATTTAACATCTTAAAGATAGAAACAATAGTAATAAGGATAAAATTTAGCCGTGTCATGACAAAACCAACATAATGGGTTTGCGACCAGCATGGATCCAGACCAGCCTGCACATCCACGCTGTCTGATCAGGATCCATGCTGTTCACTATCAGTTTCTCTACTTGTAATAGAGTTGGTAAGCGAACAGCATGGATCCTGATCAGACTGGGCGGATGCGCAGGCTGGTCTGGATCCATGCTGGTCGCAAACCCATTATATTGGTTTTGTTATGACGCGGCTCAAATGCTTTTTTGAAAACAGAGCATGTCAACATGTAGAAACTCTAAAACAAACTTATAATAACCATAATTTCTTAAAGCAGCATACCTCTAGATTTGTTTTTGTTTTGATGACAATTCAAAAATTGTTTTCATGAGTAAAATGTTGCTAATTTGTATAAATTAAGTGAATAGCCTAGTTTACGGTATTTACTGTTTACAGAACTTAATTATCAAAATGTTTAGCAATTTCTCTTACTCCTTTATTTAAAAGTAAAATAATGTCAAGTGAACAAAGAAAGGATTTTTCACATTGCAAACAACACTTACAATACAAATCAATTACTTAAAAGAGGTTAAATATAATGCAAAAATAGCCTTTACTGTGTTGGTCATGCAGTAGAAATATGGTGATAAATACTGCAAAATCAGCTATTAATTGCACATAACATGTAAATTATTACTTGAATCTTGCATCTTTTTACTTTTCTTAAAATGTTAAAACATTTTTTCTCAAATTTGATTTTTTTGTTTAAATATTTTTGTTCATCTAGAGGCATGCAGCTTTAAAAGAACATATCTATTTCATTCAGTCAGCATGCTATGGTTTAAAAAATACTGATTGTTTAAACATTTAACAAAGTTAATGATATAATACAACACATTTTTTTCTGATAAAAGATATATTGATTGTAACTACAATAACAGCATTAATAGGAACATGTATTATAAAACTAAGGCACTGGTGTGATTTTCTAAAATTTGCTTTTTGGCTCTCTCCATATATTTTGTAAACTCAGAGCACTTTTAGTAAAAGTTCAAATTCAAATTTACACAGGCTCAGAATATACAAAAATAACATTAAATCTTGTATAATTACAATTATAAATAAAATAAACATTTAGTAAGTGTTGTTATATAAAAATAAAAATACATAATAAAAATAATACAAAATTATTTGTATTTTTAATGTACATGAATTTTTTTGTTCTTCATTTTTTTTTTTTTTTTTGGTTATAGATTTATGAAACTTAAATGTAAGCCATTACTTTTGCCAATGATTAGCTAGTAATTCAGTTGTATCTTAAGTAAGGATAATTTTTTATTCCAATATTGTGTTCAATAAATATTTTTCCAATTTCTTAAACAATCTTAATTCTGAAAAAGCCTAATGATTAAAAATAGTGTAAGTTTTTAATATTTTGTTTGTACATAAATTATTTCAACACACTTTGGTTTTCTATTAAATTGTGGAATACATGGAATCACATTTGTGTTCAAACTTTTCAACTGGCAGTGAAATATGTAAACAAAATGCTCACATTTTCTTGTCTGAAAATATTTCTTCTTTGTTTGATAAAGAATTGGAGATAATGTCTTGTAAAAAAACTTTGACATATTTCTTTTTCCAAAATATAATACTTGATAACAATTATAGTCATCTCAGTTTATCATACAGGAAGATATCATGTTTCTTCAATGTCTTGTTTATTTCCATATGATGTTGTTTCCATAATCCTGTTAATACACATTTCCATAATCGTGTTAGGAAAAAAAAACTATAACAAAAATAACATAATGAAAACAAATGGTAAAAACATGGAAAGAGAATAAAAAATAATCAAGTTATCTATAAACATGAGTAATAATTTCTGGAGAATCAAACACGGTATCTGTTTGGCGTCGTTCCTCAATCCGCGGCACTTTCGACCAATCAAACGTTGTGTACAAGGTGACAGATTTCTTCAACCTTCGAGCATTACACGCATCATCAGAGCTCATATATAAAGGGCTGTAAAATAAAAGTGAAATAGAATATAATATCAGGTATGGACTTTTAGAAGAAATAATTGGAAATTATTGATAAATCTATGTATGAATCATGATTATCACCCTCATTATACAGTATTGTGATACGATTCTGATCGAGGTATTGACATTATTATAGCAATACATGTACATTACACGCATAAAATTGTCTCTTTGAATAGTATTGTAAAATTCAGAAATTTGTAATTACTAATTGTTTATCACTTTTTGAAATATTTGAAACCAGAGGAACGATGTAAACATTCTCATTCTGAGATTAAAAGTTTGTTCTAGTCAAGAACTTAATTCACAATAATTGTGCAATATAGAATGAACACATAATTATACATTTTAAAAAAAATCAGAGCTATGGTATACTTATTAGCAGATATTACCTACTTTATAGTAGATATTACCTTAGAAAGACTTAAACATTAAAAACTGTATTCATTTTGTCACAATAATGATTGCGATACAACCCAAGATATTGTGATACAATATCGTGATATAATATTATGTGATATGATACACCGTGATAAGATATATTGTGATATGATATACCATGAATCATTGATTTGATATAATTATTGTGATATGATATACATTGTATCGAAATATGATACACCATATATGATATACATGTATTTTCAGCTGCAATACAAATGTAGCTTTTAGCTTAAGGCTTCAATTGGTAATGACATATTTCAAGAAATAAGATTTGAACAATATAAATTATGTTTATAGTTAATTGATTTGGAAAGCCTGCCCCAACCTGTGCATAATTCTGCACTGGCACATCCTTTAGAACCATTAATCTCCTATAAGCTACTTTGGTAGTATGTTTGCTTTAAACTAATCAAAACATTTTTGGCAAGATTCAAACCCGCTAGTTGTATAAGGACAAATAACAGACTCATGAGCTTCATAAAAGTGCACATCTTAGTCACAGGCCAGGAATCTTGATTTATTTTCCATCTACTGCTAAACAATTTTAACAATTTAAAATGAAGAAGACATTATCACAAAAATATTAAAAATTTGTTCATTCTTTTTGGAACAGACAAAAGCCTGACCCCTGCATAATATAGAGGATCTTTGCTGTTACCTAGAGGATTATATTCAATTCAGAATTCTGTTATTAAAAGGCACACTGAGAGACTTTTAGAACAATATAATTATGACAACTAAATTTCCAGCTTTTATGATGAAGGAAGACTTTTGGTGTGCAGCATTGCTTAGTCCTCACAGGGGAAACCTCTGACATTAGGATCAAACCCGTTGCAGGAAGGGTCTAGAGATTTCAAGTTAGCACCATTAACCATGCACTTGGCCAGTCAAAGCTTACACTTAATGCTAAAGTTATAATTATTTAACAGGGTACTAACCTATCTCTTAAGAAACTGTTCCCAAGATCTCTTGTATCTGAAATATTACAAAAATATGAATGTAAAATAGCCAATAAGTAATCTATCAATTTATATAATATAAAAGATGTCTTTTTTGTTGTATTTTTTTGTTTGTTAATCTATAGCATTTTTTAATAAACAAAAGAACTCTTCTAACAAAGAAAATGAGTATCAATTTGGGTAGTTTATCTTCTTAACAAATTTAAAAAAAAAAGATTATTGGCCCTTTTTGAAGTACTATTATCTAACGTAATTACAACAATTAACCATTATCCAACATGGACCAGATAATCTAACATGTTACACATTACCTAACCTGAAACGGATTATTGTACAGATTATTTTAAATGTCACAGATGATCTAACATGTAACAGATCATATTATATGTAACAGATTAACTATTTTTATTGGTTTATCTAACACACATAAAACAGATTTTATAACATGTAAAACTCAAGACTTTATAACATGGAACAGATAATCTAACATGTAACATCAAACATGTAACATATTATCTAATATGTAATATATTAATTCTAATATGTATTGTAACATATCTGACATGTAACAGATTATCTAACATGAAACAAATTTAATATCATGTAACAAAGTTTATCTTACAATTGTAACTGATTATCTTACATTATATATTAAGGACAGGTTATCAAACTTGTACCATATTACCTAACATGTGACTGATTACCTTATGTGTAGCAGATTACCTAACATGTGACTGATTACCTTATATGTGACAGATTAATTAACATAAATGTAACAGATTACCTAACATGTAACAGATTACCTAACATGTAACAGATTACCTTAAATGTAACAGATTACCTAACATGTAACAGATTACCTAACATGTAACAGATTACCTTAAATGTAACAGATTACCTAACATGTAACAGATTACCTTAAATGTAACAGATTACCTTAAATGTAACAGATTACCTAACATGTAACAGATTACCTAACATGTAACAGATTACCTTAAATGTAACAGATTACCTAACATGTAACAGATTACCTAACATGTAACAGATTACCTTAAACATATGACAGATTACCTAACATGTGACAGATTACCTAACATGTGACGGATTACCTAACATATGACAGATTACCTAACATGTGACAGATTACCTAACATATGACTGATTACATAACATATGACAGATTACCTTATATGTCACAGATTATCTTACAAGTAGCATATTATGTAATATGTATAAGATTATCTAACATGTAAGTTATTATCTAACATGTATCAGATTAATGATTACCAAAAATGTAACAGATTACCATACATGATACAAATTATCTTACACGTAACAGTTTATCTACCATGTTACAGATATAACCATACGTTTCTTAACCCGATATGACAAAAAAATCCTTTGCAAATCATCTTATTCATTAAAATCAAATTAGTAATCCTTAGGTGCAAATTATATTATTTGTTTGTTTCAAAATGAAATGCTTCACAACAACTTACCATATAAAATAACATTAACTGTATTGACTCGAACAAAAGTCCATTTTTTTGATGTTACATTAAACTGGTACAAAATTCAGAAACATTAAACTTAAAGTCGGCTACCTAATAAGTTGGCTTCCATAAGACATTTCAACGACCAAACTAAATTAATAAATTATCTTGAATCTATATAAGTCTAAACTTTGAAAATAAGAAAAAAAAAAAATTAATAAGATATAAAAAAAATAAACAAAAAAAGATAAAAATGGCATCTATTTTGAAAATGCTTATGTACATCTTAACACTAAATTGCATGTGATAAAAAATTTATGTTTATATATTTAATCTATAAACATACATGTACTAATTTAATCAAATATCATATAAGATAAGAAAAAAGGAAAATAAAAAACGGAACTACAAGTCTTTTATTTATCGATGAATGTTGAGTGTCTGCCTCTCAACCCAGGGATCATGGGTTCAAGCCTTACTGAGGTCACAACCCAATTTCTTCACTTATACTATGACACCAGTACTGGTTAATTACAGATAGCAGACTCGAAAGTGATCCATTTACAAGTTTTAAGCTTTCATCATAATCAAGCTAATACATAAATATATTTAAAATGACTTTTTGAAAAGGTATCTGATGACAATTACATAGAATATTAAGATGTGTCATAGCTTAATTAATGGGTCGGTTAATAAACTTTTATATAACTTGTTGGCAGCATAAGATTCTATCCATGTGATCAGTGCAGACCAAGACCAGCTTGCACATCTGTGCTGCCTGATTATTTATGGTCTGCACTGTTTGCTATTCAGTCCCATTAAATATTTTGAAATTTCCCCCAAAAAAATGGTTAAGCCCTATCTATTACCATAAGACAAGTGGAATTCAAATTATACATATGTGGTGAATTTGCAAGAGAAAAGAAAAGGACGACCAATGCAATGGCAACCTTAATTATGTACTCTATACACATTCAAACAATGATTATTTGCTTGGATCCATGCAATGTGCACAATATGACACAATTTTAACCAGCTCATCAACATGGTACAAATGCATTAACATAGGTCTTTTATAAAATTAAAACATTGGCTCAAATAACGCTATAATTTTTTGTAATCTTACGCAATGTTAAACCCAGTTTTTTGTTGTGCCGGACATTGAACCTAATAAGTCACACCTGAGATAATTGCAGCTTCTTGGAGATGGAACCTGTGTTTCTTTGTTTTTTAGAACATAAACTATGACATAAAGGCTGACATAATGGTTAATTTAGGTTCCTCACAATTATGTTCACAATAATTTGTGAAAAAATAGTATAAAAACTGCCAATATTTTCAATCTGCAAACTATAAGTTCACAATTATATACATGTGTGTTAACATGATATTAAATCCATTTTTGTAGTTTAATAAAATACACACAAAACAAATACAGAAACAACAAATAATTCAAATTATAACAGAAACAAAGTTAGATTTATTTTGAGGATGGAACTATTAGATTGAATGGGAAATGATGTTGTGAAGGATCATGCCAAATGAAATGTTGTTCATCACATTTTTCACCTTAAGCATACTAGAGTGATGTGAAAGTATTTATTTGAGGAAGAATACAAAGAGATAGGGGGGAAAAAGTGGAAAATGTATCCTTCAATTAAAGCTTGCAGTTAAGCTAAGTATAGAATGCAAAAACAAAAAACAAAAACAAAAAAAAAACTAGCAAATTGGATGAATAAAAAGCTTAGCAGCAGAACATTATGAAAATGTTAAGTCACCAATGTAAAAAATTTCTGATTAAATGTTCAGAAAAACAATAGACCTGAGTAAACAATATACCTGGGTATTTTAAAGCAGCTTCTATACTTACATTTAGCTTGTAGTTTAGAATAATTATATATTTTCATTTTGGACATGGAAGCAATTGATTTTTCAATAATTTCAAAACCACTGTTCTTGAAACATATTTTCCTAAGTGACAGAATTTAAGAGCATTTTTTTCTAATTTTTCTTTAAACAACACCAAAATGTTAGAATAATAAACCACAAAAACAATAAAATACAAATTGATAAAGGTAAAAATCCACACAAACAGAAATCTCTGGGAAACAAAAAGAAACTAAAACCACTCACTCTTGTCTGGTTTAATGTATCTGCGAGGTAACTCCAGCACTGTATTATATATGTATACATTAAATGATAATAAAACACCTTTTCAATCTTTATAAGATATGCTCTTTAATGACTTAGGTTTGCAGCTTTTGCTTTCGTAATAAACTATATTTGTAGCTTTTGCTTTTGTAAAAAAAACTATATTTGTAGCTTTTGCTATTGTAATAAACTAGGTTTGTGGCTTTTGCTATTGTTATAAACTATAGTTGTAGCTTTTGCTATTTTAAAAAACTAGGTTTGAAGCATTTACTATTGTAATAAACTAAACTTGTAGCTTCTGCTATTTCACCAAAATAAGTTTGTAGCCTTTGCTATTGTAATAAACTAGGTTTGTGGCTTTTGCTATTGTTATAAACTATAGTTGTAGCTTTTGCTATTTTAATAAACTAGGTTAGAAGCATTTGCTATTGTAATAAACTAAACTTGTACCTTCTGCTATTTCACCAAACTAAATTTGTAGCTTTTGCTATTGTAATACACTAAATATGAAGCTTTTGCTATAGTAATAAACTAATTTTGTAGCTTTTGCTTTTGTAAAATAAACTATATTTAGAGCTTTTGCTATTTTAATAAACAATGTTTGTAGCTTTTGCTATTGTAATAAGCTATGTTTGTAGCTTTTGCTATTGTTATAAACTAAGTTTGTAGCTTTTGCTATTACAGTAAACTAAGTTTGCAGCTTTTCCTAAAGTATTTTCTACTATATTTGTAGCTTTGCTTATGTAATAAACTATATTTATAGTTTTGCTTTTGTAATAAACTATATTTGTAGCTCTTGCTCTTGTAATGAAATATGTTTGTAGTTTTTTCTTCTGTAACAAACTATACTTTTAGCTTTTGCTCTTTTTATGAAATATGTTTGTGAAGCTTTTGCTATAATAATTAAGCCGTCAACAGGAAAGAGCATTTTCAGACTGCACGTAATTCACAGTCTAACGTGACTTTATACTCCTAGCATTGGTCTAATATTATAACAAATACGATCAAGTGTTGACTCCAATTGCCACACCATCCAGCATATACCATGTAAGACAATTGAATTACAATCATCAAAAAGCTTGGCCTAAAATTTCACACAAAGGTATGCAAAGTTTTCCCTGAATATAATAAAAAATATATGTAATAAATTTCATCATGGAAAATTAGCTTCAACTTTTTTTTTTCTTGAACAAATGGGAGCAAAGAAATCATACCAAATTTTGTGAGAGGCTGATCTTTCCCTGGGTAGTAAAGATTAGGTGGCCCCTCAGATCTGCGTCCAAATGCAACAGTCTCTCTGATTTTCTCCTGTTCCTGTTCATATATTTTCTTCCCTGCCTCTTTCTCACTCTTTAGCACCTCTGCAATGTTAGAAATATCATAACATATCAACCAAATGTTTGTCTAGATTGTAACTATGGTGCCAAATTTTATTTTAACTTTAGTTTAAGCATTTATAATTTATATAATAAGTTGGTGAAAACGTATACCATAATCAGCTGAATTTGTGTAATGAACTTGTCAAGCTTTGAATTTGGAACAGTTAAATCCAAGTGTAACGGGATTTTAATATCAAAATACAACTAAGAACTGTCATTGGAAATGACAAATGCCTCCCCAAAGCAGGGCCCAGTTAAGGAACCATGACCTTTGACTTAATGAATGAATTAGACTACATTGGTGGCCAAAGTGTGTGTTTTTTGTTTGTTTTGTTTTAGTTCCAATCATTCAAAGGTTTACTAAGGTATAATTAATTAATTGATTTACAGATACTGCACACACAAAACTCACCTTGTCTGTCAAGTAATTCAACTGATGGGACAGAATGAATCACATACAGTCTGTAGTCTGGCTCCTGAGCAACAGGATTGTTAAACAAATCTGGAAGTAACAAGATAAAATGGCAAGTAACAGAATGAGATTTTGGCATATGTAAGCTCCTCAGCAAACAGGATTGTTAAACAATTATGGAAGTAACAAGATAAAATGGCAAGTTATAGAAACAAAAACAACTTATAAAGGTTTCTGCATAAGCAAAAAGGGTTATTTAACAAATCTGCAATGTACAAAATGAAATAGCACAAAATAGAATGAAATATGAAAACTAATGCTGGAACCTGAGTAACAAGATAAGCTTTTAAAATCTGTATTAAACAGAATGGGAAAGCAGCTTTCACATATTATTTATGGAAGAAATACTTTTACAACTTATATATATTTGACTTTTGGTCATTGGAGCAGCTATTGGCAATAGGAAAGAATCTAAAAGGACTATAAATGTTAGTTACACCAAAGACATTGCTCCCTGATGTTGCTTTGGCACACAGCTAAAACATAGTCTTTTTATGGCACATTTTTTGCTAAAACTTAGTCTTTTGATGGCACATAGCTAAAAGAGGCTTTGCTATAGGGAATACAAAATTGTAAAAATTATATGAAGAATGTAGCTTCTTATTTGTCTAATTCTCACTTACTAAGTATTTTAAGGCACTGCATCTTGTTGAACTCTTTCACGACTTTATCGAGTTTTGTAAGCTGGTTATTATGTAACATAAGCACTTTAAGACTTGTCAGGTGTTGTAACACGCCCGCTATATCAGTTAACTGATTGTTCTGTAGATACAGCTCTGCTAGCTGGAAATTGTTGTCTAAACAAGATATGTCTCGCAGCTGAAAATTTAGGTAATAAAGATTGTAAATAATCTAATTATTTATCTTTATTCATTTATATACATACATATATATTTGAAGTTGCTCTGTCACAACTATGGTTATCAATATGTAGTGTTCCATCAAATAGCTTACCATGAGTAGTAAGTGTTTCTAATAATTAAAAATAAGTAGTGTGTGTTCTCAATAACTTACCTTGAATAGTATGTGTTCTCAATAACTTACAATGAATAGTGTGTGTTCTCAATAACTTACCATGAATAGTATGGGTTCTCCATAACTAACCACGACTAGTGTGTGTTCTCTATAACTCACCATGACCAGTATGTGTTCTCTGTAACTTACAATGAGTAGTATGTGTTCTTTATAACTTATTGTGAGTAATATATGTTCCCAGTATCTTACCACAAGTATTATAATGTTCATAGTAACTAACTGTCCCAGTATTATGTGTTCCAAAAAGCTTACCATGAGTTGTCTGCATTCCAAGCAGCTTACTACATGTATTGTGTTCCCAATAGCTTACCATGAGTAAAATGTGTCCCCATCATGTAATTGTCTATTATGTTTCATGATTAAATATATAGGCCCAGCAGCTAATCATAAGTAAAAGTAGCCTAACATGAAAATCATATGTTCCCAATAACAATACTATGAGTTGTATATATTCTCAAAAGCTAACTATAAGTACTATGTGTTCCAAGCAGCTTACCATGAGTATCTAATATTCCCAGTGGTTTACCATGAATGATGTATTCCAAGTAGCAAACTATAAGTATTATTTGTGCTCCATAACTTATCATGAGTATTATGTGTTCCCAATAACTTATCATGAGTATTATGTGTTCTCAATAACTTAAATGGAGTAGTGTATGTGTTCTTAGTAACTTATCATGAGTAATATGTGTTCTCATGCACATGAGTATTATGTGTTCCAAATGAGTATTGCATGGGTTTTGATATATAAACATCACATCCAGGATGATCTTTCTTTGAACACACTTTGAACACTGTATGATGAGGCTTAAATAAAGCCTGCTATGAGCACATCTACAATTATTTCTTATTGCTCAACATTAGCCCCTAAAGGTTCAACTTATTTTTTTTCAACTTAGTTTTATATAAAAGGTAATTATAAATACCCGGTTCTTGTTCAGCCACAGACTTCTCAGGTACTTGAATCTTGTTAGCTCCACACATTCTGATAGGTTTCTGAAAATAAATCCTTTAAAATGATGTCCAGAAATGGAACTTATTAAAGCCAAGCCAATATTTGTATTTGTAACAAAATAATTTGTTAAGTAACCCAAGTTTAAACTTATGTATTTAAATATAGTTAATGCTTGCGCAAAATGAAAATTTTAAGTTAACATAGACAAGTTCATTTAAGATATATTTATTGTGGTATATAAGATACTGTCACACATACTGTTTTGCTAGGTAGAGTTCTTCAACATCTTTGTCCTTTTTAATGCCTCTTTCTTTTAGATGGGCCTCTAATACCTGAAATAAATACATTATCATTTTTCATTACAGTAATTTGCTTCTAGCAGTTTTGTTAACCAACATGTACTAGTCTGTCTCATACCAACAGTTAAACTCACATTACCATACTTTCAATCAAATTTTCAAGTTTTAGGGATGATTATTTGGTACTTTAATTCTTTTGCTGCAGTTACAGAACTTTTTTCTATTCAAGGGGAATACTCATGACTCTATTTTAGGGGGGAACAACAGTCTTTTGACTTTGGGAAACAGCCTATATAAGGCTGTAAAATATGCAAAAACAAATCACTGGCTCAATACAGTTAAAAATCATATTGAAATGGTAAAATGTTGGGAACCAATGATGGGATAGGCTGTTCCTGCAGTAGGATGGTCCACTATGGTACCTTTGTTCTTATTATTTCTAGCAAATTGTACAAATAAAAGAACTTGTATTTACTATTTTATTAAACTATGTTTAGCTGTCATATCTTGACTTTAAAATAAACAGGTCATTCATAGAAAAACTCAATGATTTAAATTTTAAACACCTATGGTCAGTCAGCCATGTTTTGAATGGGAGTTTAAATGGAGAGCACTATGATACCATGGTTCGTAACTTGATGGCCCTGTTTGGCTTCAGTAGAATTTTTTTCAACAGAATATGACGTCACTAGAGTTTCAGCAGACAACCTTCACTTGTCAGAATATGAAATTATCTGTTTAACTGGTTAATATGGGGTAAAATAAAGAAGTATTTTCAACAAACATGGGCAGCTTTGGATTTTCCTATCAATGACAGAAATTTATTTGAATTAATGAAAATATTTCTAACAATTTCTATTTAAATTAAACAAGAGCGATCAGTAATCACATGTGTCGCCTCATAATGGCCAATTTCATGTTGGGACAAATTTTGTGACAGACCGACAGACGCACAGACAGACGGACAGTGCACAACTAGACTTGGTACTGATCATTCATGTAAAGCTTGGATAAAATTGCACCAGTAGCTTATGAGGAGTAGTCCGGACAAGCTTTTGCTTATCTGGCAACACACAGAAAAAAAACACCTTTTTATCAAAGGGCCATAACTCGGCCAAAAATCATTCAACAGGAAAACCCGTGCAATATGTGCAAGGACTTGAGCTACAGATCAATCCTGTAAAGTTTCATTGAAATTGCATAAGTGGTATAAGAGAACTAGTCCGGACAAACTTTAAAAATAAAAATTATTAAAGGGCCATAACTCTGACAAAATTCATTGAACCGGAAAATGCTGACAATATGCACAACTAGACTTGGTACTGATCATTCCTGTAAAGTTTGGATGAAATTGCACCAGTAGTTTATGAGGAGTAGTCCGGACAAGCTTTTGTGTATGTGCACGTGGCAACACACAGAAAAAAACACCTTTTTTTTCAAAGGGCCATAACTCGGCCAAAAATCATTCAACCGGAAAACCCGTGCAATATGCGCAATGCCTTGAGCTACAGATCAATCCTGTAAAGTTTCATTGAAATTGCATTAGTGGTATAAGAGAAGTAGTCCGGACAAACTTTAAAATTAAAAATTATTAAAGGGCCATAACTCTGACAAAAATCATTGAACCGGAAAATGCTGACAATATGCACAACTAGACTTGGTAGAAATTGCACCAGTAGTTTATGAGGGGTAGTCCGGACAAGTTTTGTGACGGACAGATGGACAGACAGACAGACGGACAGACAGACGACGGAGAAGTGATCCCTATATGTCGCCACTACTCCGTAGAGGCGACACAAAAAGCAGCAATTCCACTTTCAGTGTATTGGTGGCGTTCAGTGTGTAAAGAAACACATTTAACTGTCATTTTCTGATTACACCGGAGATGGCAAGGACATGGTACCCACGGGGAGTACTATACCAGTACTGTTGGGATTTGTAGTCTAGTCTATTTAACCTGGGATTAACCTACTCCTACAAATGACGTTGCTTTGAGATATTTTTGCTTCTTGGCAAAGCAAGGACGTCTGGGTTTGACCATCATAAACTATCCATACGATGGGTATTTTCATGGTAGTGTTATTTTCGTGGGTTCACAAACTGTTGTGTCTGATAAATTGGACTTGGCATTAACTTCTTCTTCTTCTTCTTCCAGTATAAGAGCCGGGATCCAAAAGGAACGTAATGAGGCTCTGCGGAACTATGTACATGGTGAGATGGAACACTCTTCCGCTCAGCGATAAAAGTTGTAAAAACTGATAAAAAATTTATTTACAGAGACGTTGTGAAGTGAATTTAGATGGAGGCCGGCAGGCGCGCGCGGAAAGCATCCAACGTTTCCGCGGCGGTGACTGTTGATGCCAGGCCATTCCAGTCAACAATTGTCCTGGGGAAGAAGGTATTTGTATACATCCTGCCAGTGGTGCGTTCTTGGTAGAAACGTATACGTGTTCTACTGTCACTGGTGTTCTTCTTGGATTGGTTACTAAGTGGTAGGTACTTGTCCTTGGGGATGTCTACTAGGTCATGTTGAATGCGGTAGAGCATGCCTAACCTTGCTTCCTTCCTTCTCTGTTGGAGGGTGTTCCAATCCAGGCTCCTCAGCATTTCTGTCATACATCCAGGTGTGCTGGATTTATAGTCATTTTTGACAAACCTGGCTGCCCTTTTCTGGATCGGCTCAAGTGCATCTATGTGTGTCTGAAGATGAGGATCCCAAACCGTTGCTGCATATTCAAGACCTGGGCGTACAAAAGTGCAGTAACTTGCTGCTTTCAGTTGTGGTGTACAATCCTTTAACCCGGGTGTAGATTTTCCAGGGTAAGCCTGGAAGAGAGGCTGGTAAACGCTGGAAAACTATGGAAAAGCATGGAATTTCATGGAAATTCATGGAAAATTGGTATTTTTTCCATGCTATGTGGACTTTTTTTGTCCAGCCATTTCCAGCATTGCTGGAATAGGCTGGAAATTGGCTGGACATTTGTGGTAAAAGCCTGGAAAACCATGGACTTTACTTCCATGTAGCATGGAAAGTGGAACTTAGATTTTTTTGATGCTGGAAATGTGTTAAACTTTCTCTAAGTATGCTGGAAAAAACTTGTAAAAATTACAAGAAATCTTACTTTATATATTCAGCACAATATTGTAAATTTACGAAGAAAATATACAATCATCATTTATTTTAATGCAAGTTACTGTAAATGATTTGAAATTTGACACTTTATACTTTTATGTAGTTGAAAAAGGTATCTCAGAAAAAAATGTCTTTATATATGCTAAAGACATAAAATTAATGAATTGATTGTTCAAAATACATATTATTATTTAAATAAATCTACATGAAGTTATGTACAATGAAATAATATCCATTTAATTACAGGCTTTAAGTTTAACTATAAATTAATTAAAGTCTGTGATTAAATCATTCAGACACTATAATAATCAAGATGGGATTGTATTGCTTGCCATTTTTAAATTGTAAGAATTCATGTTTTTGGATAACAATAAATAAATAAACAAAACAATAACAGTGCATGAAAGAATCTCATATAATATTCTATATTAAATTGACCAATACAATGTATTTAGGAAAATAAATACTACATCCACTGAGATTTTACGCTACACAGATCAGAGCTCTGATAAAACTCATTGACCAGCATTTTCTAACCATCTGTGCATGACTAATTTACTCCACTGGTCATTTCAGATCAGGCTGTTCCATGTGATTATTTTGGGGAGAGATAACATTATAAATTTCATATGAAGAATGTGTCTAGAAGGACATTGCAATCTTTTTTGTACAAAAATTTGTAATGATCTTTAAAATCTATATATCTATAAGCTATTTGATATTTTCTTTTACGCTCAAAGAATAAAAGTTAAAATGATGAGCAGATTAACCCTGCTTTACATAATGATAGACCTGTCCAGTAACTGTTGTAAATTTTGAATTCTAAGATATCTGGGTCAGAAAGAGTGCAAATTACAGAGGATGTACTTGATATTTTAGCAGTTTTGGAGATATTGTTTTGTTTAAGACTTTAAAGTGTTTAAGTACTTGTATTGGTATGATAACAATTAGAATCACCTGGGACAAAGAGATATAGAACAGAATCAGGTATTTATAAACCTTAAGTTACATTAATGCAGAAACAGGTTATATATCAAACTATCAACATTTGTAACACAAGATCAAGGTTGTTTTTATATTTTCAACTTCATGCATTTGTTTTTTCTGATAATTGTTTTTAATCTATACATGTATAGTATGTAAAATATAAATTATTCAATGATTTCTTTATAATGTATATTGTTAAAATGACAATTGTTAGTAGATCTTTTTCATTTCCTACAAATAAAACAAATTAAATCAATTTGATTAAATAGGACTAAATGGTACAATCAGTAGTTTTGTACAGCTGAACAGGGTCATCATAATCATTTGTTATATTTACATGTATGTGTTGTGTTTTCAATGGAACAATCTAAAATTACATTTTACATTATACAATTACATAACTTGCAGGCTGGGACGTAAGTGGTGACTGTGAGAATTACCAACAGTGTTTAATAATGATGTGCAGTATTAATCCTGAAAAGGTATATTTTTAAATCTCAATACGTGTACTTTTTTATTCCATGTCTTTTCTTGAAAAAATACATACTGGGTGATAAATATTGTCACACATATTTACTTAATAAATTCTTATACATGTACAGAGAAATTCTTAACCTTTTCCCTTATATAAGCGTGTTTCGACGGCTTTTTGCCCCCCCCCCCCTTTTGAGGCCTCAAACAGTGAAAAAATGTCCTATTTAGACCCAAAACACTGTTTTTCGTTTGAGAAATGTTGTTAAAAAAAGTGACCATTTTTTCGGCGCCGTCCCCCATCCAAATAATACATCAGGGGGTTGCCAGAAGGGGGATGTGCCCCCTTCTGTTTGGGGGGTTTGAAGGGGGCGGAGTCCCCCTCATCGCCAAGAAAATTTTGGACTTTTGAGAGGCTTAAAATGACCCCAGGTTGATCATAATGTAACGTGTAACCAACGCTGAAAAGCCTTTGACTCTATCTCAATCCATTGAGAAGTTGCAGCACTTTGAAATAAATTTTGATGGAAAAAATCGAGGCAAAATAGTGATTTTTGGCAATTTTGAGATGTCCCCTCGTTGCCATGGTAACAGGAAATTTAAGACTGAGCATGTCGTTACAAAGGCAATGGTCCAGTCAACATTTGTGCCAAGTTTGATTAGTATTGAAGCATTTTTCATAGTTTCATAGCAGTTTGAACTTGTAAGAGGAGGCTTTTCAGTTAAAATGGCCATTTTTCACGATATGCTCATGGGGGAAAGGGTTAAACACTTGTGCACTTTGAAATAAGATATACTGCATTGCTTTAGTATTTTTGAATATGCATAAGCATAGTTAATATTTAATAGTTAATACATTTGAAACATTAGATTTGATGTTATTAAAAGATACAAAATATAACTGCATAATATTTATATGCAATAAAACATAAGTCATTACCACATCTGTGATAAATTTATTATGAATTTTATCTTTAAAGGTGAGCACAACCACAAGAAGTTCTAGGAAACACAGGCAGAGGACTGAAAATGGACATCAATAAAAGAAATAGTAATTTAAATAATCAGAAACACTTGAAAAAAATTTAAGATTAAAACAGTTTCTCATTGACAGATTAAGAGCAAAATAATTGCTAAAATTTATAAGACAACCAGAACCTAGCTACCAAACCTGCAGCTAGAAAAAAACTGTTTGTGCTAAAGTGAATGTAGGATGTTCTATTCTGTATTTGGACTAAAGGATATGTATTAAATTTTGTGAAAGAAATATGTGATCATGTTAAACTAATAAAAATTCCACCCCAAATATTCCTGTGCTGAATTCCGTCAGAGAATTTTAAATTTTAAAAACATTCAGGGATGCTGGAATTAGGCTGGATTTTTTTCCATGTTATTCCATCAAGGCTGGACTATTTACCATGGTAAAAAGTCCAGCCTCTATGGTTGGCAGTCACATGGAATACCCTGGAAAAAAATCCATACTTTTGTTCCAATACTCCATGTACATGGAAAAGCATGGAATAAAGTCCATGCTTTTCCATGGAAAACATGGAAAATATTCCATGCAGCATGGAAAATGTTCCCTGTTTTTCCAGCCCATTTATTCTCAGCTTCAGGCTGGAAAAGGCTGGAAAATTTTGTTCCAATACTCCAGCCTCTTATTTTCCATGGAAATCCCTGGAAAAGCATGGACTTTTTACACCCGGGTAGTTTCTCCTCACAAATCCCAGTGTTCTGTTTCCTTTGGCAGCTACATTCTGTATGTGCTTGTCCCATGAGAGGTTGTTGGAGACAGTTACACCAAGGTATTTGCTGTGGTCCACTGATTGCAGGACTTGGCCATGAAGTATATACTGGTGTTGGTGATCTATCTTTTTGTTTGATGATATGTGTAGTACATAGCACTTGGAAGCATTGAAGCGCATAAGCCAGGTTCGTTCCCATTGTTCCAGTGCTTCAAGATCCTGCTGCAGCCTTGCCTTGTCATTTGTACTCTTGATGACCCAGTACATGAGGCTGTCGTCCGCAAAGAGTCGGATGTCAGATGATGTGCAGTCAGGCATGTCATTTATGTAGGCCAGAAATAAAAGTGGACCTAGTACAGTTCCCTGGGGAACGCTAGATATAACATCATCTTGGTCAGACTTGGTGCCTTCAAGGACTACCTGTTGCTTGCGGTTACTCAGGAAGGATTTGATCCACTGGTTAAAGGGACCTCTCACACCATAGAAATCTAGCTTATGTAGAGGAGTCTGGAATGAGGAACTTTGTCGAACGCCTTCTGGAAGTCGAGTAGAATGGCGTCTACTTGGTTACCCGCTGAAAGATACTTGGCGATGGTGTCAACTGTTGTTAAAAGTTGAGTTTCGCATGAGCGACGTTTCCTGAAACCATGCTGGTTGCCTCTCAGTATATGGTTGGTGTCAAAGTGTGACATTATATTACTGTGGACAATGTGTTCCAGGATCTTGCAGGTGATCCATGTAAGTGAGACGGACCTATAATTGGCCAGGATGTGTGTATCTCCCTTTTTGTAGATGGGTACTACATTTGCATCTCTCCAGTCCTGAGGTACTTCAGAAGAGTCTAGGGAAAACTGGAAAAGGCGGGTAAGTATTGGTGCCAGTTCATCAGCAGCTAAATGGAGGAACCGGGTCGGAATCTCATCAGGGCCTGCAGCTTTATGGCAGTTAAGATTTTGGAGTAATTTCCGTACTCCTGGTTCCCTAACTGTAATAGATGGCATGCTGGGGTGGCTACTTGATCCCTTGTCAGGTAAGTTCTCTGTGGGTTCTCGGGTGAAGACAGAGCTGAACTGCTGGTTCAGTATACTGGCCTTGCTCTTGCTGTCACTCCGAATGAAACCAGCATATAACTTATAACTCAGTCGCAAACCATTTGACATAGGGCATGTCAGCAAGTAAGAAGGCTCTAAGTGTAATGGGGTTAGAATTAACAATCAATCTGTTAACATAGGGCATGTCAACATGTAAGAAGGTTCTCTCTAGGTGTAATGGGGTCAGAATCAGCAATCAATCTGAATCTTTTTCTTTTTTATGATACATCACACACTATGACAGGTTATAGCGAGCTCGACGAGCTGTCCCGAAGGGCCTGCTCGCAAAGCGAGCTTTACGGTAACGCGAGTACCTGCTAAGTGATGGTTTTGAAAACTTTCGTCCAAAGTACCGAATTGGACACATCGCAACCTTTCGAATTTAAAGATAACGATAAAAACTGAGGAATTCTGACTGAAAACGGATGTGTAGACTGGTCACCCGCGCACGTCTATGGGAACCATAATTGGACAGAGAACCAGAATAACGGAAGCCGAGTATAAAAAATGAAAATTGAAGGCGCCATTTTGTTTGAAAAATCTGATAATTATAAACAATTTTTTGTCGAATTTTGTTGTGAAAACTATCTAGAATGAAAGAAATTAGTATAACTAAGAAAATGAATCCGAACACCAATATCTTTTATTCAGTCGTTAACGCTGTACAGACGTTTAAAGTATTGTTTACATGACGTCACAATGTAGCGCCAAACAGCACGTGCAAAACAAACAAATCAAGTACGCTATTTTAATGTCGCAAACGTTTTAAGTTTTACATTTAGATCTTATTCAATTTTAATACGGGGAAGTCAAAGACCGGGCCCGCGAAGCGGGTCCGGGCTTTGGCTTGCCCGGCTATAGACTACACGTGTATATTTAAAAGAAAATCATATAAAAAACATTTCAAAAATATATAGAATTCTATACCTATCAATGAAATTTTCAGTGTCAGTTCTACTCGGGCGCTGCCATTTACAATGTAACTAAATGATAAAAGGCGTGGTATTCCGATAACGGAACAAATCTCAACTTTTCGGATAAATAATAAACGTCGAGTGTTCCGAGTGAAAACGGAAGCGGTGCATGTAATACCGAATGACACCTTTAAAACGGAAAGAATGAAAGGATTTTTTTAACGACTTCCCCGTTCATAGGCTGTGCCTAATTTCATATTAATCTTTATTTCGCTTGAAAATTATAGAGTGAAATAAAATAAACGAAGTTTTATCAACGTTTTCAAAACTCGTTGTCATTTAACGACAGGGGCGGAGCCATATTTAACACACAGTACGTGTTACGTCACACGCACTCGTCACTGCATTTGAAATAAAAATGAGCGATTATTTCATACTATTTCCTGCCAGCCCGCATAGCTCAATCGGTTAGAGCGCGAGACTTGTAATCTCGACATTGTGGGTTCGATTCCCGGGCTGGCCAACTAAAATTACTAATCAGTCTTTCGGATGAGACTTTAAATCGAGGTCCCGTGTATGGGTGCTTAAACACTTGGCACGCTAAAGAACCAGGAGAAGCTTCTGGAATTGGGGCATCTTTCTGTATCTGTAATTGCACTATCCTCCGAAAAATAAAATGACTAATACTCTTCTGGAGGGCTCGCCCATATGGGCAACCGGTGGCGAGTATAAATAAACGCAAATACACACAAAATACTATTTCACGTTAAAAGTACATCTGGGACATAACTTATGTCCCAGAGTACATCGAGCTCGCTTTGAGGCTTTGCCTTTTTCATATTAAGTTGTAACTGGCAATCAGCTAATTAAACACAGATGTGAAGAAACAATTGTTAAAATTGTATTAAACTTGTTAAAAACTTTCAAATGGTGTCGTTTAAAGTAGAAATAATGCTTAAATATCTTAAGTGACACTAGCCTTTTCGGAGGCCGCCATCTTTGTTGTTGCTACAATAAATCATTCAGAGTCACCTCATGTTTGTTTTCGAATTAGTCAAAATTGAGAAATAATGAAAAATCATTTAAAATGACACATAGTTTATAAAGTTTAACCTTATATTTGTATTTTCTCTTGTATCAAGGATTTAATTAAATATATCAGTACTATTTAAACGACTGGAATTATTGTTGTCGATTCGTACTTTGTTATTTTCAACCATGTACACGGTAGACAGACGTTTCACTATTGAGACGGTTCACACCAAGACGGTTCACACCAAGACGTTTCACTCCCAAATGGGAGTGAAACGTCTTGAAGACGTTTCACTCCCTTTTTATACCAAAATTATTGTGATACTTGTGATATACTAAAATAGACCTAAAATATTGAATTGAACTAAAATAGACCTTAAATTTAATACAAATAAATAAAAAGGGGGATTTTCACTTTTTTGTCAATGACTTAAAACTCGGTACTTTTAAAAGTTATATCATTTCAGTTATTTTATTCTTTTTTATTGTTTTTTTTGAAAATAAGGTGTTTTTCTATTCTTTGATCCATATGTGCAATTATTACATTATTTCACTTAAAGAAAAATATTTTTGATTAAAATAACACTTTAATATAACTAACTAGTTGAGCTTTTGTAAACATGGTCTCAATAGGCAAATTTAATTTAAACAACTAAATTTGAGTAATGTGTTGTTTTTTTTGGTTAATTTTAAATTAAACATGGGATAAAATATTGTTAAATTATTTAATGCTGGTATAGTGCTTTTGTGATGTATGCCAAAAAATTTAATGGCCATTGAAATCAGAAATATCTTTAATTAAATTAGAAGCATTCAGACTTTTTCATATATTTGTCATGTATAATCATTTTTAGTGACTAAAATTCATAAATTATATAAAACAAAAACTTAAGTTTCTGTGTTTTTAAATTGGCTGTTGTCAAAAAAAAAATTTAAATGGTCCAATAAAACCACTGATTAGTAAACTGTTGATGCTTTAAGTGCAGTGTTTATACAACTGGATTTAATAGTGGTGTCAAACTGTTGTTTGATGGTCTCAGTGTTTATATACAACTTAATTAGGGCGATGAGATAACACCACAATTACTTTAAGTTTGTTTAATGGCTACTGCTTAATAAATTGTTGAAGGAAAAAAATAATTTTTAAAAAAAGTTAAATTTATTTTATACACATGTTTCGCATTTCATTTTTGGGAAGACTTACAAAAAATAAACCATTATATTCATTAAATGAAAATAATTCATTATATGATATTATTTATTATATTGATATTTTTTTTTGTTTTGAATAATATTAGATACTTTACTGGTATTGATTTCAATATTTAAATTGATACTTTATAATATGTCTTTATTGTTCTTTCTATATTATTCTTATCTTTTTTTTTAATTTACTGTAAATAGAATTTTTCTCATGTTGTTACACTTATAATAAAAGGTGATTAATTTCAGAAATTTGTTTTTCACTTACACCTCTTATCAACTCAAAACCCATAATTAAATGAGTAATCTTTAATAATTTGTATAAACAATACCATTGAAATCAACAAAATGAAACATTAAATTGAATTTCCTTTTTACACTGTTTGATATTAATTAAAGAAATTAAAATTTGTTAACTTTCCTAGTAAACATCTCTTAAAAATTGGGAGTGAAACGTCCATACAATTGACAAAATGAGAGTGAAACGTCTAGGTGTGAACCGTCTTGGGAGTGAAACGTCTCAATAGTGAAACGTCTTGGGAGTGAAACGTCTGACATTCCATGTACACTATTCTACTTGATAAATTGTATAAAAAACAATCGTTCACAAAATTGAACATCGACTGGATTTGATAAAATATAAAATATTGCCTTGAAGGTGGGGATAGTCAAAGTTACTCTTCACGAACTATTTACAAGACCGTAAGTATTTTAAACCTTGTTACTATTTTTAGACGGCAAGGGTTTTCACGTGATCTACTTTCGTTTTGCATTTTCGGAAATTGATTGTACAAATTTTCACATTATAATATATTTTAGTGATGAAAAAATGTTTCGATAATTTGGAAATTATTGCGATTCCGTTAGACCGATTTTATTGGCCGCATTAACTAAGTCTTGGGGAGAGATACTTGATTCCCAAATCGAGGCATACCTCGAGTGGAATTTCCGAAGACAAGAGCCGAGTCATTGAATAGGATAGGTAATAAATTTTGTTGTATTTTCTTAAACAAATCACATTACACATTAGCTTAAGGTCTTCAGCGTACCCGTTTATAAACTTTGACATGACGTGAATTAATTAACTGTTTGTAAGCTATCATAATTGCAATACAGACTGCAGCAAGCACAATTTTATTTCATTTATATTTTTTCTTTCGACATGTGTGTATTTCGATGTGAAAATATTTCAGGGATTTTTTCCAGGAGTTTGGGAACATGACCCATATCCATGGAATTGGGAATTTCAGCGGTGTTTTGTTAAAATTTGGGGAAAAAATGCATGACTGAAATTTTGCAATGTTTAAATGAATGCAAACAATCACTGTATAGGATGGCATCTTCAAACATTTAAGCACCAATTACACTATTATTCACTATTACAGTGAAGAAGCCCTTATTTCAAACATTTTAGAATTTTTATTCAATATTTTTATTTTGTAACTTTCAATTGGGATTTTTTTCCTGTGGATTGGGAAAATAATATACTATTTTCAATTGGGAATATGACCCAATAACGGCTATAAAATTAGCCAAAAAAAATCCCTGTATTTTTTTGTAAGAGATATATATTCTTTCATGATAGATTTGGCTGACAGTATATCACCAAACGTCATATGAACACATGGTACCGTATGCCATGTTGAGCTGTTGGTAGGTTTGTCATGGCAACATTATGTAGTCAACTGTCAGATTAGCTAACTGTCAGATAAACATTTAAACAGTTTAACAAATAAAACAGTTTTAAAACAGAGGGACAGAGGGAGAAATGTTTTTACAATAAACTAAACTTGATGTGATTTTATTTCCTTGTGAATGCCTTATTAGTAACCATCAAGTTTCAATAGAGTTAACTGTACAAATTGAGGTTAAACATTAATTTTATAACTGACATCACAGATTTTTGTTAAATTCAGGTGAGTGATAAAAGGCCCTCTAAGACAGAATATTATAACCTAACATTGTATCTGAGCATTCAGCACACATGTAAATGTCCATCCAGTTGTCTGACTGTCTGTGTAAGCTTCTTCACCAAAACCACTTTACCAATTATGATGAAACATGTAGGAGTTATTGTCATTACAAGCTTTTTGACCTCCAATTTGATTAATTCAACTTGACCTTGACCTTTTTATGACCTTGACCTTTATGCTAAAATTATTTTTTTTTAATGGATGTATGAAGTTTAAACACTGTGGGCCAAATGGAACTTAAGTTATGCTCCGGAAACTGTTTTCAGTTTTAAGGTGATAGTGACCTTTGACCACAAAATCAATAGGGGTCTTCTACCCAACATGGACAATCATCCTACGAAGTTTGAACACTATGGGTCAAATGGAACTTAAGTTATGCTCCGGAAACTGTTTTCAGTTTTAAGGTGATAGTGACCTTGACCTTTGACCTTGTGACCCCAAAATTAATAGGGGTCTTCTACCCAACATGGACAATCATCTTATGAAGTTTGAACACTATGGGTCAAATGTAACTTAAGTTATGCTCCGGAAACCGTTTTCAGTTTTAAGGTAATAGTGACCTTGACCTTTGACCTTGTGACCCCAAAATCAATAGGTGTCTTCTACCCAAAATGGACAATGATCCTATGAAGTTTGAACACTGTGGGCCAAATGGAACTTAAGTTATGCTCCGAAACTGTTTTCAGTTTTAAGGTAATAGTGACCTTGACCTTTGACCTTCTGACCCCAAAATCAATAGGTGTCTTCTACCCAATATGGGCTAGGCGGAGCATTATATGCCCGAAAGTGTTTTGTTTTTTTAGTAAGGATGAAGCAATTGTAAGACATGGGAATTTAATAAAGTATTACCTCCTTCAAATAGCAATCCTCCTATGAAGTTTGAATATTGTGGACCAAATGGAACTTAAGTTATGCTCCGAAACTGTTTTCAGTTTTAAGGTCATAGTGACTTTGAACTTTGACCTTGTGACCCCAAAATCAATAGGGGTGTTCTGCCCAATATAGACAATCATCCTATGAAGTTTGAACACTGTGGGCCAAATGGAACTTAAGTTAGGATATGGAAATTGTTTTCAGTTTTAAAGTAATAGTGACTTTGACCTTGTGACCCCAAAATCAATAGGGGTGTTCTACCCAAAATGGACAATCATCCTATGAAGTTTGAACATTGTGGGCCAAATGGAACTTAAGTTATGCTCCGGAAACTGTTTTCAGTTTTAAGGTAATAGTGACCTTGACCTTTTGACCCCAAAATCAATAGGGTCTTCTACCTAATATGGTCAATCATCCTATGAAGTTTGGAACATTGCTGGCCAAATGGAACTTAAATTATGCTCCGGAAACCGTTTTTTCAGTTTTAAGTAATAGTGACCCTTGACCTTTGCCCCT